TCACTGTCAAAAATATTTTGTTAAAAGAAAGAGGCACCAAAAAGACAAAGCAGCTGTTTTTAAGACTTTACTATTAACAACACAAAACATTTCATTGATCTTCTCTACTACATTTCTATAGCTGGATTTTTTTGTTTGTTTGTTTGTTGTTTGTGTTTTCTTTGAAACATGCATTTTTAACACACATACTGAAAAAATAAAACTATTTCCATACATAACTGTAACAGCCTCTGCCTGGGATGAGAGTGAAGATATTCAGGTTTCACTGAACAAGCATCAAAGGTGTTTTATGGGATTCTTCCATTTTCAGCATTTCTCTACTGTGTCCAGTACCCAAAGATGGGGAAAAGCAAAGAAGAAGATCTGGTTTCCGTGCTCTGGAAAGGATCACACCAGCTAACAAATGATAAAAAATATATTACTTGACCTCTCAGCCCTTTATAGAAGGGATTGTGAAATATTTTGTCCAAATTTGGCAGTTTTTGAAAAGGCAATAAATAATGTATTCTTGACACCTTAAGTTCATTTTTGCATCAAAACCTGGGGTCAGATCCTTTAGTGAATAAACTTTTTTATGTGAACAAGGTGTCATATCTGTTCCAAGCCAAAATACAAAAACAAAAATCCCCCCCAAAAAAACCCGAAAAAACCCAAACAAACAAAAAACCCCCCAAAATCACCACAACTTTTATTCATTATTGCCCCTCCAAATTCAGCTTAACATGGGAAGCTGGAATGCAAAATATCAGTGTGTATGAACAAAGTTTTTGATTTCAAGCCCACTTATTATCAAGTCAGTCACCTCCACCAAAAATGACATTCATAAGTTGTCAGTGTGCCTTGCAATTGCAATTTGCAACTGCAAATTAACTTACTTTATAATGAAGCTAGTTAAAAGGAAAATTTCAGAGACCAGGCTGGGCAAACCTTCAGACATGAAGAGTTAAACAGACAGTCCTACCTCTTCAAGATGCAACATTTATTTGTTCTTTTTCCTGATTAGTTCTGTGACTTTTATATTTTTAATTTGCTACAAGCTAAAAGATACGTATCAGCCACTAAAAACCAGCAGAACAATGGCAAGTAGGGTAGGATCTTTCTGGGATTTTAATTTCATAGGTCACACTTGAACTGTGTGATTTAATTTCTTCTTTAATCTGACTTCTTAAAAGATAAAAGCTTATTAAAATACACAAAAAAGTTTTGAAACCTTTCTCTTCCATATACAAAAAGGGGAAAGTCATGGCAGCTCTGACTTCTGAGTTAGTCATGCAGAGATGTGTCTCCTTAGAGGTCCAAAGGCCTTGGGGAAGGTTCCAGGCAGTGTTTGCTTTATTCAGAGGTGTGCTCCAGCCCCTCAGTGGGAAGGGCCCTTGCAATGAGCTTTTCTGAGGGAGTGCCTTGTGAAAAGGGAAGTCCCCTGAATCAATTTCTCACTGTAGTCCTAAACCAAGACGTTCTCCAGTGCTGATCTGTCCCACTTCTCAGCCCAAATGATGCATGGGTACCCAGGATTTAACAAGCATTAAAATTGAGGTAAGTTTTGAAAAAATAATGTAAATGGTACATTTGACTCTTCAGCTACCAAGAGATTTAAACTTTATTTGACCTATATTGCTTATTTCATCATTCATTGATCAATTTCTACATCTTTTACTATAAAATACGGCATAGGGGTGGGGAATGTTGAAAACCTCACAACCTTTAATTAAGTCTTAGTTTTAGGTAATCGTAATCAGACAAACAGTCCAGTGATTCTCTTCATCTGAAACTGTGCATTAGAACAATGAATAAAAGATTTCATGGTTTAATTGTTGAATTTACTTTCCAAATTTGGCATAATATAATTTTCAAGACCACCTGAAATTGTCTTTTTTTGAAAATTTTGCAATTTATTTTTCAAAGAAAACATATGTATATAAAAACTATTTCTTAAAGAATTAACTTCTACATTTAGGAAGATATAATAATCAGCTCCAGAAACTTTTCAAAAATAGCTTTATTCAAACACATGTATAATGCAGATTTAAAATTTAATTGTTTCATGTTCTGCCACTTGAAGTAACAGCTCCTAAGTTTCATGAAACTTGTTTTAGCTATTTTAATTTTTCTTTCTCCGTCTGCTTCCCAAATTCAGCAGGTGGGTTTTGTACAAACAGCCTCTGCAGCTGCAGTGGTGGATGAGCTGGCAGCTCCTGTCAGTTCTATTCCCTTTCTCTTACTCCAGCAATGCACTACTGTACACCAGACATTGCTGGGCATCATATTAGCTGTAGCTGAAGCTCAGAAGTAAAAGAGATGGAACAAATTTAAAAAAAAAAAAAAAAGGTAAAATACGTATAGTATTTTTTTTAAAGCCCTATTTTTGACAGGACATGGCTTGAAAAGAATTTGGAATTTCTTGTTTGTTTGTTTTTTTGCATTATTGTTGTTTTTCTAGATGATTTAGATTGTTGAGATAATTTCTGTCCCACTAGATTAACTGGACTGTCTGCAGTTTTGGCTAGTTTTGGCATATTTGGCTAGTATGCATTTTTTCAGAGACAAAAGAGCCAGACAATATTATTAGAAAAAAAATTGTCAGGTGATGAATTTCATTTTGCACATCATGGACTGAATTTCAGCACCATATGCTAACTCAAACCTCTTTGTAACACAGGATGAGGAGCACAAAGTCCTGTCTGCATATGTCTGAGAAGAAATGTTCTGCCTTTCAACTCATCTATGCTGGCATAAATGAAAATACTTGTTCTTTGACAAGTTGTGAATCAAAAGCTTTTTATGTATGGACAGGTTTTGTTCCCTCCTGGTCACTCTGGGCGTAATTATGCCGCAGTGCTTTCACTTTACTGTTTTTTGTGGACTAATTAATTGTATATAAACATAAGAAATACCCTGTGGGGTCAGCCCAGCTGTCCTTCTGCTGTTCTGCCTGCAGCAGTGAGAACAGGAGATGCTACTCAGAAATAATCCCCAACTCTGGCCACCTCCTGCAGCCCATTCCATAAGCATTCCCCCAGCACCTAGAGCTGCTGAACTAGGGATGTGAGCTTGTGCATGCACCTCTAATAGTTTTTCTGGTAGCTTTCCATGTACCTGTTTCCATGCCTTTCCCTGGTGCTGTTTGCAGCCCGCTCTCCCTGCCCATCCTCGCAGCGCCGGTGGGAGAAGGTGCTCATGTTCACTGCACACTGAGGGCAGAGGAGCCTCTCAGTCCTGCACTAAAGGCACTCCTAGGAGCAGCTCACCTTGGGGAAACAGCACTGCTCTCACCTGAAATGCCTTTCTTTGACTCAGGTTGGTTGGCTTTTTTCTAAGTTTGTTCGGACTTAAAAAGTCTTGATTGTCTGCCCCTGTGTGTCCTGTCTCAAACCATAAATGCATTTATATTGCTGCACAAATTATGTCTATTTTTGTTTCCAACACCAAAAGTTGTTGCTACTGTAAGATTTATTTTGTTCCTTTTCCTGTTCCACATCCCCTTTTGACTTGTGTTTTTCAAAAAAAATCATGTTAATATTAACCACAGGTATTTTAACTTGCGTAGTGTTTTCCATCCTCATTTTCCCTTTCTGCTAATTTAAATAAAGTACTTACATGTTCCTAGGACTGTTTTTGATTTCTCCATTCCATGGAGAGGAATGAGCCACTACGTGTTGAATAGTAAACCATCAAAATTTCCTTGTTTTTATTTATACTTTTCCTGACTTTTTCCTCTTACCACACACCATACTGTTCTAGGAGCACAATTAATGGCACAGCTCACCCCTTCCCTCTCCAGACAATTAGAATTTTTTGAATTGGCTTCTTACCTGGGCACACCAAGGAGGAGAATTTACTCTTTTTTTGGCTGGCCATGTGCATAGTGTGACTGGCACAGTACAGCTGCTGCTGGTGCTACAACTGAGATCACTCCAGAATGAACAGAATGGGGAAACCTCTGCCTCACAGCTTTCTGTTATGGTTTTTTCACAGCATTTATAAACAAGGGCAGAATTCCTTAAGTGGTCTCTTTTTCACTGCATTGTAATAAAATAGCATTATAAATTAATCTGTATATGTATGTAATTTTAAGTGTATGTGTATTTCTTTTTTTCCAGGAAACCTCATTGCAGATTTTCCTCATGTGCTGAACATTCACACATTTTCCTCTACATGACCAGTGCCACTTATTAGTCAATGTATTGTGAACCTTTTGATATGGCTCCAGGTGCTGATCCCTGGACACAATATGTCTAAGAATTTAAAAGTGAAAACTATCAGTGCCAAGATAAATCAGTGAGTGAAAGTCTCTGAACATGGAGGCATATGAACACAGAGAGTATCAAATGTTGTTTTACATTAAAGCAACCTCTGAAGGAGACCCTTCTGATAAATAACAATGCTGTCTTGCTAAAACCAACTTTGATCAGTCTGAATCCCTTTGCCCACTGTATTCCAAATTTAGCAAACACCTGAAATTCTTTTGCTGATACTTTTTCAAATGGCAGGATTAATCTCTAATGGTTCATATCCTCCTAAACCAGTAAAGCAAGTCACAGTCTAGAAATTACAGTTCTCTGTGGTCACAAGAGGCCAGATAACACACAGGGAGAGCTGCTGGGCTTAAATCTAGTCATGGTTATGTCAGGTGGGCCCTGCCAAAACACTTGCAGTGTCAGCAGTGTCATATCTGTGTTGCTGGCTTGCAATCAAAGCTGTGCTGTCACTCAGCACCTCTGCTCTAGGGCACACGTTCTCTCTAGCCCTGGTCCCCACTCAAAGAGTGGGCTCAGTACAAACATCCTAGCAACAGCAGGCACCTGTCAACAAGACCTGCCAAAGAAATGCCATTTCATATTTACCTTTTGTACTTTAGACACCTTTTAAGCATCTAGCTGACCCTTTCCTAATATTTCACAGGTGCAAAATGAAAACAGCATGTTCTAACTACTTTTTCAACCAAGCTTGGAACTAAAGAGTCTCCAGTTCCTTCAGACCTGTGGCCCAAAACATTTGCTATGGCACGTGTGACAGTCATTCATGTCCTGCTGATATTGAGCTTTTTCCAACATAAGAAACTGTTTTCCACAGTCCTGGCAAGTGGAAAAGAAGACATAAAGGGTAAGTAGACTATTAGCAGTTCATCCCAGGCTAACATTCCCAGATTTCTAATCTGAACTTGTCAAGGCACTTTCTACGGCCCATAGGGAGAAACAGAGACCTACAGTAGGGGAGGTGTCCAAGACAGGCAAAAGTGAGTCAATTAATTTTGAGAGCTGCAAAGAGCATCTGATTCCCGTTGCTGAAAGTCATATTCAGCAAAGCTCAGAAATTCCTGCTCCACGCAAGAGCAGAGGTCCTGACAGAGCTACTGGGCATGCAAGCCTTGCTGAGAGATAATTCCTTAGTGTACACAGTGGGTGATCCTCTCTCTATGTAATATCATTGTAATTGCAGATGCACTTAGGCTGCATAATGTTATGTGGGCCACCAAGGATGATTCAAGAGTCATTTTGTCCTGGAACAACAACCTGACAAAAGAAGAAACCAAGAAATACATCGTGAAGTATATTTTGAGTTATAAGTTCTTCAATACCACTAAGGAGAGGAAAGTAAGTTCTTCAGAGGTTGCTCATAGTGTAAAGTGAAGTAATATATTGTATTATTCAGTAGATGAGTTTGCATAATTTCCCTTTCAATACTTAGAACTGTCTACCTTCATGGAGTTTCTTCCTCCTCCTAGGAAAGACTGCAGGAGAAGGAAAAGATAATACATCTTCAATTACACTCTGGTTTTAATGCTAAAGTTAAGACACAACTTTTTGCAAAAGAAACAGAAGACATAATTAAGGAGAGTGACTGGACAGAACTTACTTACAAGGCACCTCCAGGTCAGCTATTTCCTGCTTGTTGTTTGGACATCCAAGCATTTATGATAATTTCCTGTCTTGGAGAATTTCTGAAATTTCATTATTATCTTCTGCTACTTTTTTTGTACAGATATGTTAAGAACATGGTTCATAATATCTTGAGATATTGCAGAATTATTTCCTTTATTAGATGTGTTCAGATTCAGAAAACTCCAGCTCTGCTGAGCAAGATGTCAGTATGACCCAAACCCTATTTTCATTTTCCCTAGGAACTCATGTATCATGAAGATTGCCTTTTGTATCATATGATTTTAGCAATTCTTAAAAGATCAGAGATTTTAATTTATTTTTAAGTGGGTTAGTAAGGCTTTGGTGTCAGTAGTAAATATGCATCCCAATTTTCACAGTCTACAAAGCAAAAATACCTGTTTTTTCTCAGATAGCACTTTTTCATGCTTCTAGAAATAAGCCAATATAATAGGTTTGTAAAGGCAACCATCATGTTGTTATTAGGAAATCAATGTTCATTCAACATGACTCTTTCTTTTTACCATTTCTTTGTTGCAGTTTACATTCAGAATCTTTCATGCATCATATATAACATTTCTTTTTTCAATTGCACCTGGCACATCAAAGCAGAAGCTCCTGAAGATATCCAGATCTTTACCTCATACAGGTAAAGGATGTTTAGCAAAATAAGTATGAAACCATGACTTTGGACCTAAGTCTTTGATTTAAAAAAACCTTCTATTTCCTTCTCACAGACATGTAGGAAAGGTTTTTGCATGCCAGCAATATATAAAAAATGCAAGGAAGAAAAATATTGGATGCTATATGAAAGAAATACATTTCCAACCATCAAGGAAAATAAATTTAAACATAACTGTGAGAAATTTGAGAAATAGTTCAAGAGTACTGTCTTATTTCAAAGCTTTCACACCTCAGAAAATAGGTAAGTATTGTCTATTACTGTATATTATGAAAATTTTATTTATTGGTTACTTCAGGAAAAGCAAAAAAGGTGTGATATAGTCATAATATTAATTCCAACTATTTAGGCATTCATCTTAGTGTGAATGTTGCACAAAGATTAAACAAAATGTAATAGGGATGTAGACTTTTTAATTTTTTTGTCTGATTTAAAAACATTGTTTATCTATAATTTTAATTAAAAGATAAAATAGGCTAATGTGAGGAAACTATTTATAACCATTGTACCCTTGTTTCTACAGTTTTTTTTTCTATCCTTTTTTATAGTGCTGAGCAAGTGTGATTAAGAAAAAAGAACATAAATAGTCACAAGTCTCACTTATAACCTGAATTTAAGAATATGAATGTTCTCAAACATTAGTAGAATTTTTATTTATTTTTTAAGTTAAAAATATCTTGGCAGTTATTTTTAATTATCAACAGTTTTGAATGATCATATAAAATTACTTTTCCTAACTTCTCTGGGAAGTTTGAATTAATCTCATGGGTAAGAAATTCACCTGAAATTTAGCAAAGATTGCAGATTCAAGTGCCTTTTAAGTCTTTAACATGTTGATTGTCTTGCAGACCTGTAACCTGGGAATCAGTCATAGCTCAAGGGATCACAAAAATATAATTTAAAACTCTAAATATTTATTCTGAGTTAGATCTCATCTAACCTTTTCTAAGACATTAAAATTGTTTGCTTTACCTAAAGCTTCCCACTGCAATCAGAGCCAGCCATAATCTGACATATGACAAAAGGAAGAAATGAAATTGCTGCCTATTCTTGACATCCTTACAGAAGGGAGAGTGGTCTGGCAGCAGTATTTTTGAGACTAAGAATAAAACTCTGCTTCTGCCTCTTGTCCTGGCTCATGTCTCTTCAGGGCTCATGGTGTGCCCCTACACCCAAAGGCTGCTGGAGCAAGCACAGCAGCTGCAGGGACCCGTCCTGCTGCCACTCGCCCTCTCTGGGTTCCTCACAGTGCAGCCCTGCTATCCCCAGACCTCACTGACCCCGTCTGCAGAAACTTGCCAGGCACTTCTGCCTCTGCTGGCAGGGATTTTTCAGAAAACTCCAGATGGAGTTCTTCCTTTCACAGAAATGCAGCAGCAGCTGAGAAGGACTGAATGCCTGGGTACTGAGCACACACTCAGCAGCAGTGCTCTAACACTTGCCATGCTAAAAAATAAACTATAGGCTTGCTCATATGAGTCCAGATATAAGCTGAATATATATATGAGCTGAAATCCTGGGAACTCAAATGTCCAACACTGTACTTCCTCCACAGCAAGTGCTTGCTTGCTTCTCTGCAGGAGAGAGAAAGAGAGATATTTCTTAAGCATCTGCAGCAATCTCCATGTATTGAATCAGACAATTCTCTGGCCAACAGGCTGTTGTGGGAAATTGTGGATGCTCCATCCCTGGAAGTGTTCAAGGACATGTTCAATGGAGGTTTGAGCAACCTGCTCTAATGGGAGGTGGCCCTGCCTATGCAGGGGATTTGGAACTAGATGATCCTTAAGGCCCCTTAAAACCCAAACCCTTCTAAGATTGTATGAAGACTTTGTAAGTGTCCCCACTGAAACCCCTCTCTGAGAGAAGAAATTCCATTTTTTAAAAGTAATAATACCAGTACTGAGGGTTGACAAAACACATGTATCCTACAAGACATGGAGTCAGTAGCAGACTCAAGGTCTCCTCTACACCAACACTGAGTCTGGAGAGGGCCTTCTTCTCCTTCCCTCTTTCTGCCTTTCCTAGAAAGATACATGGGAAACCCCAACTACGTCTCTTTATTTTGAGGTACTTACTGAACAGCAATTTCAAAGAAAATGTGTCACTCACTAGAATGTTTTTGGGTGTGGCAAACTCCAAAACACTCAGCTGTGTATTATAAGGACTGATGTACTTTCATTTGTTTTACATCTGTTTAAATACAAGAAAGAGCATGAGGTACAGAAGGTCTCTCTGCACTCTTTTATTTTTCAGAGAAGCTGAACCCGCCAATCAACGTCTCAGTTTCTCTCGAAAACAAAAGTATTAAAATTCATTGGAAACCTCCACCTACCATTGGTTCAGCAAGGGAAAAGTGTTTTTTGTACCAGGTGAAAATAACAGATCATAAGGTAATCAGCTTCCCTAGTAGTACACTTCGTTTTTACAACATAACTTCCACAAAAACAAGGCATCCCTCAAACTTAACAGAATTTAATTTCAAACAAACTTGAAAGAAATCCCTTTGTCTTTAATAAATAATACAACTTGTCTTTCTGATAAAAATGAAAAATCAATATATTTTATGAAATCTTTAAGAGTCAGGCTTGCATTGAATGAAGTTGAAGGTTTTGTCTTCTATATTAAATTTGAATTGCACATTATTATCACATAGACCGTATTGACTTTTTTTGTTATAGAAAAAGAATATTGTCTCAAAGTTAGGAAAGATTGTCAAGTACCATGGAAAACAAGATTAGAACTTGAAATTCTGTTTAAGTCTGAAATCAACAAGCCAAAACTCAGTAATAAGGAAAATCCTATGATTAGGAAATTCAGGTCAAATATGTCAACACAAAATAAGGAATTAAAATATAGGAGTCATCACAGAAGAAAGAAGGCCTGTGGATTGCATTGAACCACAAACTGAGTCAATCATTCTGTGTTAGGCAAAGGTCAAATGTTATTTAAGTGTATATGACCAGCATGTCACATGTAAGATGCAGGTTGTAACTAACTTGCCCGTTTAGATGCTGAGTTTCCCCTGAAGTTTCATATTGTGCTTTGGGTGCCACAAAATATTAATAGACACCAGAACTGGAAAAGCCTTAAAGGGAACAGAAAGAACTGACATGGTGCACAGAGTCAAATCCACACCACATCAGCCAGTATGAAGAGAACAGATCGTGCTTTCCTAACACCAAGGAAGCAAAGATTCCCTGTTTCTCCATGTATAAGATTCATACTTTCTACTTCTTTGCAGCCTTTTAACATCACTTTTAGCTTCTACAAGCAAGAGTTTTCTCTCTTTCTTATTACTTATAAAATTTTTAACATTGTTTATTTATAGAAGTTTGCTTTAGTATTTAAAAGTGATTAGGGATTATTTAAAGATTCCTCTTCTTTAAATTCCACCACTCCATGTTTGGGCTTGATCTTTTGAAGTGATGTTCTTTTTTTTTCATAGGCACAATTAAAGATTTCAGGACAGCCACCAAAACAATGGATGTTCTTAAGGTGAAAAATGAAAGATTTTATTCTAACAGAGAAGCAAGTGTAGCAGACTACCCATACCAAAATCTTGAATCTTGCAGTTCCATATTTACTGTGTTCATCCTATATGTGGTGTGATAAAAAATGAAAGGGGAATCAGTGTTTTACAAATTCCTAATGTCCTGCCATAAATTATACCTCCTTGCATCTTGTCAATTCCAGTCTCTCTTCATGTTCAGTTCTGAGTTTTAACACACATCAGATGAGAGTCAATTGTATCTGGACATAAGAACTTGTTTTGAAAACCTCTTCCTACTAGTTAGAGATGTAAATAGTAGTATTTGACATCCCTAGTTTACATCTGTTTGAACTGCAATGCAAAATATTTTAAAACAATCCCCTAAACCTCTCTTGATAGATTGCAAATGTCACTGCAGAGAACTATAAGTATCCATTTCATAAGCCAGGAAAAAGATGTGCAGCACAAGTGAGGGTAAAGAAAGAGATTTGCATAGCAAACAAGATCTGGAGTGAATGGAGTGAACCAGTGTTTATTCATGATGGTAAGTTATGTACTTACTACTCATTGCTGTTTTCACGGGTTATGTTATTACCATTCAGTACATTTACTTCATTATTGCCTCTCTTCTGCTCCAGGCTGGTATTGGGGCATAAATACTTGGGAGTCCATGGCACACACCAGGCCCACACAGCTCTGCTGTAGGGAAGCAGAGTCCTTAGTCTGAGCTCTAATTCCCTGCTTTTTACAGAACTGTTGTCCTGACTCTTGACAGCCTTTAGGAAAGAATAATGGTCAGCAGCTGACTAGGTCCTTACACCATCATCCCTCCACCCTGTGGGCTTGCCCTGCAAAGGACAGCCCACACATCTCTAAAAATATTTTCAACTGGAGTTAGTAAGCCAAGAAATCCACAAAAGTCCTACCATTCATCAAACCATATAGTCTTTAAGGACTAAGTCCTAAATGTCACTTATTACACTGGTGGAATAAATTCTTATCTGACAGAGATAGGAAATGGTTTAGCTCTTATTTAAATTTATGCTCTGGCCCCAACATCTCACTTGAGCACAAAGTAAACAAGAGCATTGCAAAAACAAAGTAAACAAAAGTACTGCAACACTTTTCCTTCAACCTCTGTAAAGAAAACCCCTAACACTGGTGTGCTTTCCATGATGAGAAAAATATCTCCACATGCAGAAGCTTTCTACCATCAGCTTAGGCAGAGGGGAAGTATTACAGCGGTTTGAGGCTGTATTTATCGAGAAAAACTTGTGTGTCAGCATGCAAAAAAAAGTACAGTACTATGGGTAGTAAAACAAAACAAGGTGAGTGTCATTATTTAATAAAACAGACTGTATTTTGGAATATGTCCTATTGATCTTTGAGCTTCAAATCCCTATTTATCTGAGGACAGGAAATGCCAGGAGAGATGTTATATTTTTGCACATGTGGTGCAGCAGTTTCCCTCCTTCCTACTCAGGAAGAATCAGTGGTTTTTATAAAATTAATATATGGAGTTATTCCATTGGAGGGTCAGGTGCTCAGCCAAATCTCTTTACATACCTCTTTTCATGCTGAGACAAATTTTTCTGTCCATTTTACTTTGGATTCTGTGGAAATTATTCTATCTGCTTCTAATTGGAAGCAGGTATAAATGGACACTATGTAAGTAACCTGAATAAAAACCATCCATTCAATATTTTTTTTAATGTGTCAATTTTTCTGGAGTTACAGGATTTCTTTCTACTGAAATTCTTGAAGAAGCATAGCATGACCTGCTTTTTGTTTGCTTCTCCTTGACATTCCACTGTTTCATCTAGGAAATGGGCAACATTTCTTTAAGAATGCATTTTAAAAAGGCATTTTAGCCTTAATTTAAAAAAAAAAGCTGAAGCATCAAAATGAAATAACATAATTCAAAACATAACTAAAATATTTGTTCTGAAATGTTCCTTTGACATGTAAAGAATTTGCTAATTTTCTCATGAGGAAAACATTAATTCTCCTTTGGAATTAGCATATGCCCTCAAAAAAAATCTTCACAATTTAACCTGAACTGAGCTGTTTACTATAAAAAACTTCTGCTAAAAAAAGAAATGTTTAATCAGCTTTATTCATATGTAGAAACTTGAAATAATTGGTCTAATTTTTAGAGCTGATGAGCATTCACAGATCACTTTGAAGTTTGTAGTAATTCAGAAGGGTTCTGCATTTTTGCAAACCAAGCCACTAGTTTTGGTTTCAAAGTTCTGTTATTTCTGTCAAACTTAAAGCATTTGCATCTGAAAAAAAACCAACCCACCATGAAATGGTCTACCCAAAAGAATATATGTGCTTCTTTTTCTTGCTGCTCTCCAAAATGCAAGAAGTAAGAAAGCAGGAGAAGCAAACCCCTTTGTGGTTCAGCTGATGATAAGAACAGGACTTCCTCTTCTCCTGGGTGTGTGCACAATGTAGGGTTAGCAGAATGATGCAGAGGAATTACCACAAACTCAAAAAAAATTCTATTACACAGTCCAGAGGTGGTTCAGAATAAGTTTTCTGAGTCCTCATCTCAGACAGCAAGAAGAAAGTAATTTTCTTTTCATCTTAAAGTGAATAAAGAGTAGTTTTGTACTTTAAAGAAGATAAGACATGCTCTTATAAGTTCTACCCACAAGTTTCTGAGTGTTTTTCTTGGTTTCATATGAAATTTGTGGAAATAAATGGGTTCAAACTCAGAACTTTTATTCTTTTATATTTTGATTTTTAATCTAGATTGATCCTAACATCACTGGTTAACTGGCCTCAGACTATAAATATTTTAAGAGCTGTCCTTGTCTGTTTTTCTTCAAAATACTTAGTTAAAACTGGTCCAAACTATTTGTGGTTCTGAAGCTAGATATTAAACAAGAAATAAAATTTCCCAGAAAATATTTCTGAGTCAACCAAATACATTGCTATTTTGGGTATTTTGGAGGAAGAAATGCAAGGTACAGAGTAGTAGTATTTGTTAAACAACATAAATATGTATTGATGCCATTTCTTTAGGACTATGCCAAGCAGGGTTAAAAAGGTAATATAATAGAAACCAAATGCTGCTTCTTGAAACAAAAAGAATATTTTGCTTGACAAAATGCTTTTATTTTCATCTTGCCTTAAATCAGTTACAGCTGTGAAGTGGTGAGGAGGCAGAGGAGGGGGACCCATGGTGTGTGGAGATGGGAGCAGCAGCAGCAGCAGCTCAGGAGCAGCAGCAGAAATACCAAGAGCAGATGGACAGAGGGTTTCACATCCAGAGGGGTCAAGGCTTTGTGGAAATATCCATTGGCAGGACAGGCCATGCCCAGGATATGAGACAAGAATTCCAGGAAAAGAAGGGAATGGAATGAAGCAAGAGGAAGTACTGGACAAAGACAGCAGCAAGGCTGAGGGCTAGAAGGAGGAGAGGGAGGAAGGAACAGTGCTGAAGTCAAAAGCCCTTTCCTCCTAAAAAAATCTCCAGGAAATGTTTCTTTAAATCTGTGACAGTTCAGGAATAGAGCAATATTTATGAGTCCATGTGCTATTCATCAATTTATTAACTATCGTAGCCTCTCCCATTTAATTAACATTACTTTCCCTTTTTTTTTCTTTTTCATTTTTCTTTTCTTTTCTTTTTTTTTTTTTTTTGTTTTTTGTTTTTTAAGAAAAGACAGTGGATATCCTACTGCTAAGCCTCACATTGTTTTGTTCTCTGGTTTTCCTTGGAGGCCTGCTGATATATGCATGTAGAAGGTAGTGTACATTTTTGATGATTGTATAAATTTCTGGTGGAAGAGGGATCAGGATGAGAGTAAGCCATACAATGGGAAAAAGTCAAACACAGATTTTCTCAAGAAGCAGTAAATTGTTCCTTTCCAACTATTGCTCTAACAAACTAGTGCTTGATGTTATGACCTAGTGTAAGACACTGACACCTGTAATTCTTCTCTCTCAGCTCCTACCACAGTCCCCCACAGATCCAGTCTCACACCCTACTCTCTGATGTATTTCTGCCACTATAAATGACATTTTTTAATCTTACTCTGACAGCTGCCTCTCTATCTTCAGTGTGACTCTAGCCCATGCTTTCACAGATTCTGCATCAAGGCCACCTCTATTAATCAGACCAGAGATGAACTGCATGTCATGCTGTCCAATTTCATGTCATAATCCATGGGTGTTATGACAGTAGTTTTTCACTCTAAATGGGAGACTTTGCTAGAAATAAAAGGGGAAGTCAGTCTGGTGGAATGAATTTCCTTTGCTGTTCTATTAATACCATTAGTAGAGTAAAGCAGAGTAGTGGCCCTGCACCCCCTGGCAGTTAATGCTGCTAACTCTCTCTATGCCACTGCTTTTCTGCCTGGCAACACAGCTTCCCTATTGACAGCTGCCTATGGCAGCAAAGGCTTTCTTGAACTGAGAAATAAACTTGTCCAGATAGGAGGATGACTCAAGATACCTTAGTATTTGGAAGATGCAGTATGTAAGTGGAGCCTCTATTAAAAGTAAACTTATTATTTAATTAGTGCATAATTAGTGACTAATCACTATTCCTGATTTGTATAAAAGAAATTATCAATTTTTAATTATGGAAAGAGTACATAGGAACAATTTTTTAAGCTACAGACACAGTAGCATGCCACAAGTTCTCATTTTGCTTGGAAATATTATTTGAGTAGAAATGATAGGTTTTTTAATATGCATCCAGTCCTTTCAAAACTCTTGCAGGTTAGAGACCAGTTAGGCTAAAGAAGAGCTAGTGAAAGTGTTGAAAAAATTGTCTCCAGTGAAAAGAAAGAAAAAAAATTTTAAATGGCTTTAGAAATAGTAGATGCCTGTCTTGGAACTGGAATATATATTACAAATATATATTATATTAATGTCTGATCTGTTCCTGCAGACAAGAATAGTAGCGTGCCTGTATCACTGTCTTGCAGGTACGGATGCCTGGAAGTTTTAACCACACCTGTTCCACATCCTTCAAACAGTATCAAAACGTGGTTAGCAGATGAGACTCACCACCAGGTAGTGTGTCTTGTTTCTCTTTTTTCTCTCACCACACTGACACGCATGACATTACTTGCAATCAGATGGTGCAGCATTGCATTTGGAGCAGCATTTAGTTAAAAAAAAACAAAAACAAAAAAAAACAAGAGGGAAAAGGTATGTACAGCATTTGTTGTGAGAACAGAATACCTTGTGGAGGTTACAGGACTGATGTCAGTAGACACGATGGAGAAAATCCTCAAGGGACTAAAATGTCCCGTGTGCTCCAAGGTGTTTCAGCATATCCCCACTCAGTGGGCCAACATTTTAAGGAGTGATCACCCTGAGTCCCTGAGGAATAGTCAGTTATGGGATGTTATATATGTAAGCATGTCAGCCAGCTATCAAGGGGAACTTTTTGTGGCAATCTGCAAGTCATTGGCTCTGCAGCAGCAAATGTGCACGCTTTTCTAGCAGGAAGGAGGAGGCTGCACAGTGCATGCAATGTAACCTACCACAGCTGTGCCCCTGCTTCAGGACAAAGCCACAAGCAGAGGTGTTTACTTTGGAAGAGCTGATGCACTATGAGCTCAGGTGCTTGCTTATCTCATGCCACATTACAAGTCTTTAGTCAACTTGGCAAACAAGGGCTAAATATTTACAGTATTTGGAGACTGTTGTTAATGGAGCTTCTTGGCTTGCACAGTCAGTGTTTCTTATTGCTGTCATTGTGTGAGTTGCAAGGAAAAATGTGCTAGTCAGGCAGTATTAGGATCAGTGTAACTCCAGAAAAGCTGCACAGTGAACTGTGTGCTAGAAGGGACAGTAAGATTACTTCTTACCTGGTTCTGCAACACATGAGAAGGCACAGGTGTGCCCAAATTATGATTTTTTGGTGGAAAGCACCATTGAAAAAGGAAACTCTAATGAGGATTTTCTCTGATCTGTGTGCTCAAAATATTTGTTCAGAGCCTCTGCAGGATTTCTGTAAATTTTACTCTATCCTGCCATATATCAAAATATCAAAATCTAGTAGAGCATTCAGCAATTTAACTAGTAATTTCCATTGTGTTTCCTTATGCTGTTTTCTTTCCCAGGAGAAAGATGTATGCCTTCCAATATTGTGTTTTGGGGCATTTTTTAATAATATACCTACATCATTGACAGAAATCTCAGTCCAGGAATCATAATTTGAGTTGTGAGACAAGCAGAATGGGTTGTTTTGTTTAATCTTATCTTCTCAAAATGAATTTATGGGGAAAATTATGTGCATATTCTATATAATCAAATGACAAATTAAAAGATTGAAGTGTTTTGAACTTGCCCCTGGAGTTCATTCCACAAGCCTTGGGCTGGGTCCCAGAGCAGACTGTGCTCCTCCTCTTCACTGCACTCATCTCAGAAAAGTTCAAGAGGTCCAGAACTGACCTGAGGCCAAGTCTCATATTCTCAGGATTCAGAATAATTTCTATGATACTTCTGGTCAATATAATTTGACCAAATTGGATGCTAAAAGTGCCATGTTGACCCTCAGTTCAGCTGGTTAAAGAGTATATTTATCACCTCTTCTGTGCTGAAGTCCTTCTCACCCATTTTTACCAGTAATTGTGAGCAAATTAATTGATAATACCCATTGTGGCTATGAATATCGGCTAGCAGAATAAAGAATCATAACCATCAGCTTTATATTCTGTATCTCCCTTTGTGTTAGAACTGTGTAAACTGCTATGTAGGGGTCTTTGTATTCAAAATATAATCACAAAACCACCTATATTTAATGTTGCTGACAGTGAAAGAATTTATTTCTGTCCCTTAACTATTACAAACACAGAATAAACCTTTGACAGAAGACAGCATAGCTGGGGAGTTACTGTCTACATGATAGCAACAAATTACTGAGACAACACTGTGATCTGTTGATTCAAGTGATTGTTGATGGCACAATGGTCATATCAGCCTGGAGAGTGACAAGAAATAAAATTAAGGCTCAGAACAACTAAGTAAATGTGCCTGTGAGTAACTTGTAGATTGAGAAAGTAATTAATATAATCTTTGTATTCCAGTTGCAACAGAGTAAGCAATATGTCCTAATCCCATATATATGCCAAATAAGTTGAGTGCTTGTAGAAATGCACAGAATTTTGAATACCAGTGAATGTGCACTTTATGCATAATGTAATTTTTATCCAACAGCAACATATGTCAATGCAAATGGAGATGAACTCAGAGGTTACTCTGGGAACACCAGAAGAGAACAGAGATGAGAACATTCAACTGCAGAAATGTTTGAAGGAATTCGTGTTAGAAGACCTATAGAGATGACATGCCTTTTTTATCTGCATGCAAGTGTACTTTCCCATGAGGTGGACAATATTCCAATAGATCAAAAAGCTGATATGGGAGTTTGTCTGAGCCCAATAACTTCTGCTCTGAAAACATGCAACTCTTAAAATTAGCTTTGGATCACAGACACCAAGTAGTATCTTGTAGTTTGTTTCTAAAAATACTGATCTTCAGACCAGTAAAATTAGAGCATCTCAGAAAACATGAACTAATATTGAGGTCTACTTGGGTTATAATGAAATTAATGTTCCACAATGCTACAATGGCTTCCAAGCACTGTCTGCTAGATCAAGACTTTTTGAAGCTTGGCTGTTCATACAAATCTCATACTAGCTATTCAACATCTGATTGAAGTGGTCATGAGAAATGGTGGAAGGAGTAAATGTTTCTGGAAAAAGCAAGAGAATCTCACAAGTGATCTCTAAAACTCAAAAGAAAACAAAACAAAATATTCCTTTCTGAGTCACTGCATTGTGTAAACACACATCAACCAAAGAGGAGAGATATGTGTGAAGACAAGGTCTTTTAATGTTGTGGACTTTGCAGTTGGTAAAATAAGTAAAGTAAGTATAACAAGAAAACTTTAGACAAGACAAAGAAAACAAAGTTTTCTGCTGTATTGCGATTTTTAATGTAAGTTTAATTCAGAGAAGTTGTAAGTTCAGAACTGACCATTTTTGCTATTTATTTTTCCCTGTCCTATCAAAGAATATTTCCTACTGATTCCATGAGGTGATGAGCTATGCTAGTCCATTTTCATGTATACAATCAGGGCAGATTATCCCAACCCTTAGCTGAGAGTATGTTTATTTAACTAGAAGAGAATGAAGTGATTTTGCAAGGAAGGTGTTTCTTTTCTGAAAGTGGGAAATACAAATCAATGATGGACATAATTTTCTGGAAGGTTTGGAAGATACCTAAAAATTACTTGCTTTCATTACTGGTAATATTTTTCCATGTCAGAATAATATTGATTGGAACAAATAACAATATAAAAATTTTATTTGTGCTTTTGAAATATAAAGTTTCTAAGATATACTTTGGTGCTGAGTCTTGATTCACCTAAATGTGCTTTTTGTTTTGGTAAAAAGTCCACAATGGAGAAGATTACACTCTTTCTCCTTTATTATTAAGAATGACTGGTGACAAGTGGAAAGCTCAATTTAGAAATCTCTGAACAATAAAAGGACTACAAATGACTTCTTTTGCTGTAAGATCAGTTAATGACCTCAAAAGAACAATCAGCTTTAGAAGGTAATGTGCCATTTCCTCTTGCACTGTACTTTTCACAGAAGGTAAGGGCGCTCTTACCTTTGGACACCAGTGCTCTCCCCTCCACACCCGTCAGTCTGAGGCCCACACAAATCATCAGGCAGAAGTAAATTGTGGATATCAGGTACTGAGTCAAGTTTCAGAGAGACAACTCCTGGAGTGTCTCCTCTGTCTTAGTGCTGAGAGGAAAACCCTCAGCCAACACAGCAATTTTTCTTTTGGATGATCAGACACCGTCTCTGTGGGTAGACAACACAATTTATACCATGGTCCAATGTTCAGACACGTTTTCTCAAGAAGAGGGGAAAGAATTCCTTCTTTCTGATAAAAATCATTAGAGGAGGCACTTAGAAAGCATCATGAACTTATAGATTCCTTTTTTGGTGAGGATATAGAATGCATAAAATGAAAAAAATCACAATATAAGTGAGGTAAGAGAGGTAGATGAGAACTACACCGGCCGCTCACATCTGGAACACAGACTTCATAGAGTGAAATCAGGCCACAGTGAATATTATATTGTTCATTATAATATATATTTTTATACATATATTTTATATAGTTTTGGTTTGCACTACTTGAAATCTTAAAGCAGTGCCAGGATTTAAAATAAGATAGGGAATATAAAGATGAAAGGAATTTTATTATTTTATCTGAAAATAGAAGAATTAAATAGAATTTTTTCTGATTAAAATTGCTTTTTTTTACAAGAGACCTTGGTCAATACACAGAGCTTGCCCACATGAACATGACAGCCTCCAGAGGCACATCACATAAAACATTATGATAATATTAGTTGTATTGAAAATTAATCCTAAAGTGCAAATTTGATAAAACAAAATCCATGATCTGGAACCTTCCAAGAAATGTTTGACGAGTGTATTCCCAAATGGTATAACTTTTCCTTAAAATAAAATATTATTCTAAAGTAATCCAACACGTCTTGTCCAATAGTGGATTAATCTGCAATGCATACATAAAGAAAGACAATTATCTGAGAGCAAAAATTATATATTGCTGGCATTAAACACCTCAGTCTAGACAAAATACTCAGCAAGTTTGCTGATGACACTAAGGGAAGAGGTATGGTTGACACATCTGAAGGACAGGACGCCGTCCAGAAGGACTTGGTCAAGCTCTAGCACCAGGCCTGTGGGAATGTCATGAGGCTTAAGAAGACCAACTACAGCAGGGATGTGATTTTCCCCCTCCACTCCATTCCTGTGAGACCCTACCTGAAGTCCTATGTCAACTTCTGAAGCCCCCAGCGCAGGAAAAACACAGGGACCTGTTGGAGCAGGCCCAGAGGAGAGCCACCAAAATGATCAGGGAGCTGAAGAACCTCTCCTAAGGAAGACAAGCTGAGAGGGTTTGAGTTGTTCAGCCTGGGGAAGAGATGATTTCCAGGAAACCTTTTAGCACTTTCCAATACTTAAAGGGGGTGACCAGAGAGCTGAGGAGGGGCTTTTCACAAGAGCATGCTGTGGTAGGACAAGGGAGAATGGAGGTAGATTTAGATAGCAGTTAGGAGAAAATCCCCTGTGAGCATGATAAAGCAGTGGAAAAGGCTGCCCAGAGAGGCTGAGGATGCCTCATCCCTAGTTGTGTTCAAGTCCAGGTGGAATGTGGCTTTGAGCAACCTGGTCTAGTGGAATGTGTCCTTGTCCATGATGGAGAGGTTGGAAGTAGATGGTCTTTAGGGGTCCCTTCCAATCCAAATTATTCTATGATTATCTGAAAATCCTACTCAGCTTGGCTTGTTTTCTCCTGTCAATGAAGCTCTTGTTTCATTGTGAATGAAGCTCTTTCTCCAGGTGAATGTCACTCCTGTGTATGATTTCACCTTCTGGATCCAAAGCGGGACCCGATGAGACACTGGGCAGGGCATTGCACATAGATTGCTCCTAATCTCCACTTATGTATGCACAGAGTCAAAAGCCCTTTGCTGAGGCCATAAAACCTGGTGATGTGTCGTGGCTGTCTGGTTTTATGCTTTCAACTCCAAGTCCCCACTTCAGTAGGGGACACATAGCACACATGAACTCAGGTCCAGGAGCATTATTTAGTGTTCATGTTTCTTCCTGAACACCAGCGACTATGTAGATGTCAGACACACCTTACTGAAGCTCCTTGAGGAAAAATAGCCCCTTCTCTTTGCTTATAAAGGAGAATAGTTTGAAGAGGATGATGGGAGTCAGCAAAGCAGCCTTCAGCCTCGGGATTACGCACAAAGTCTTCTCTGGTTACCCAATGCTGCTACCTGCTCTACAAACAACCTACTTCCAGTCAGAAATGTTCCTCAAGTTTTCAAAGCAAGTTTTTGGAGCAAGTCTGTTGCTTTAACTGCACTGAGAGAATTAAAGAAATACACCTCTTGCTCTAACTTGAAGACCTGTCCTTTATTAGGGACAAGATGCACTACAAGATACAGTAGATTCTAATTTTTGCTTCCTTAGGTTTGGGTATCTAATCAAAAAGAACCAGCCACGGCTCTTGAGGGAAGTTCGCCAGTAATCTCAGTCTAGAACAGGACAGGATGATCACCTCTTTCTTATTAGACACTAGATGATGATCAAACTCAGAGTACCTGCCCACATTTTCTTGACATAGTTATTCTGCCTTTCTCTGCACTAGTGAAAGGAGATATTTTGGCCAAAAAAGAGCTTGGCAGTTACAGCCTTTGCATTTGGCTGTGCAGCCAGCACAGTTTCCATCACAGTTAAAGATGTCTTAGTTCATATCTCATAATGTTTCAGACCAGCATTATTTAGCCAGCAATAGCAGTTTTGATCAGAAACACCCTTGTTCATGAGCAAGGGCAGAGAAACGTGGACCACAGTATTTAATCTGAAGCCTGGGTTCACAATTTTATTTTTATACTATCAAATAGAGAAGCTGGAGGATGCAATACTTAAATGTATCAAATACATGAAGAGCATGGAAATGTGAGGGTGTATGTATGGGGATACACATGCATGGCCAAGGAAATGCTCTTTGTATGGAAAATGGCACCAATATTCTTTAGGACTAAGTGTATGGTCCTCGTGGTGTTCTTACCATTCTGCCCTGTATTTCTCCATTGCAGATGAGCAAGTTATCTGCTGGCATTTGATTAGCCAGTGCCTGCTGACTGATACAACTTGATCTACTCACATTGAAAAGAACCAGATGGCTCCTACAAAGTTACTTTAAAGATAAAGGTGACATTGGGAGATAAAAATGCTTTGGTGACTGATGCAGCACAGGGTTGTGCTTAGAGCTGCATTACTGCATCTCATCGGAATGTATACATCAGCCTATTTTTGGTAATCTCAGAAAAAATTCCAGGCCACAGCTTCGAATGCCAATTGCATATAAAACCTATCACCACGCTCTGCTTCTCCTGAAACCTGGCAGGTAATCAAACCCCTACCCATTACATAAATAGAGAATATGACTTTGGTATTTAGTTCAGAAAGACACTTAGAGCAACACAGAACCTACAAAGAAATTGGCATCTTTGAGTAAAAACTACCACAGCTTTACTCAACTTTCCTCTTAATAGTCTCTAATTTTGTAAAAGTTTCTAAAGAAACCACAATCATATGTGTCTAGCTCCACTGAGATCAAAACATGCAAGGATTAAAAAATACAAAGTGTAATAGATAGGCAAAGCAAGACATTCACAAAGAAGGAGAGAAGAGATGAAAGTAAGGGGGAAGAATGAAAAGAATTAGTATTCGAGACCATACAGCACTATTATTATGTTTTTATTAACTCACAAAATTAGTTTGGATTCAGCAAGCTGTCACTTTGCATTCATACAGATGAAAAATAATTGCATTTTAAAGCCTGTTTTGGCTTCTGGCTGTCATTTGTTTTTTTAAGCAATGACAAAAATGAGAAATAGGGTGATTATGTAAATATTCCAGACCACAATA